GCCTTTCACCTCTGATTGATATTTGGTCTTGACCAGGGTGTGAGAGTATGGCAGAGGTGGGACGTGACAAATGGCAAGACAAGAGCTGAGGCAGGAAAAAGGAGGTGATAAAAAGATTGTACCATAAATCTTATAATACTAACACTATAATAATAAAACTACCTTGCCATTTCATATTCATTCTTTGCCGATTTATTCCCAATGGCAATGTCAAATGTTAAATGTGCATGGGATGTCCTCCATTGACTCTCATCCATTCATTCTTTAGAACATAAGCAGCAAAGCACGTGACAAAAATGATATTTCTAATTCAACGAAAATCCATCCATCATGCTTTAAGAGCTCTTCACTCAGCTTTAAGTGCATTTCATAACACTGCTCGCACCTCGTAGGGAATCTGCATGCTGACAGTGAACTGTGCGTCACGCTGGAGACCATTGTTCCATCTATGTTTATCATTTATCATTATTCCCTAGAATAGTAAAAATGAACAAAGCATTGAGATCCTTTAACTATCTATGTCTATTTCTTGTTGGGAACATCCATATAGTGTATATGCACAATTAATAGCTACAACTATTACAAAAATGCCATGCTATAAAGAATAACAAGTCTCTAAGAGTTCAATGCACCATTGGCCAAAGAAGCAGACAATTAATTCAAATTCAATGAGATTTACAGAATAATGACAAGCATCTTATCTTATAAGTATGTTCCCAATTAAAGTGACATAATATCAAAGGAAATGATACAAACTCTACTAAAACCTCATCAAGCCCCCACTGAGTGCACAATGAGCAGGTGGATTCACCAGGATTACTTTCTGAATCCACTCAGTGCATGCTCTTCTTTTTTCCACCAGCACCGTGGGCAGATTAATTATCTTCCATCAATTAAAGGGGGCAATTATATTCCAACCTCCTTCATATGGTAATGAGTCAACTCCGGGATGGGAGAGGAAATGTGTAATGGCCACCAAATGGTGCTGGCAGGAGATCTACCGTAAGGAATAGAGGTGTAAGAGAGGCCATATTGAAGGATAGAGAGGACCTGTTACCTACCAAATACGTTCATAATGTGCATGATTTAATACTGAAAACATATTTAAAGTTAACTAAACTCCACCACTGGTCCATGTATCATCAAAACAAGTACCATATGTATTTGTAATCACATTTGGAGTCATTTGGTGCTCCTTATACTGAAGCATACAAAATCAATGTGCCTCAGGTTTAACAGCATTCATCATTGTGACAGCATTGCATATATTATAGGTAAATCTAATATTGAAAAACAAACAAAAGTGTACCCCTTAACCTCGGGTGCCCAAAGTGTGTTATGATCACAGTCTGGTAGCGTCACTAGCCTGCTGTCAAGTTTTCTAGCTAAAACAGACAAGTAGAAAACATACTAACATCTATTTCACCTTTTATTCGGTTGAACTGAATACAAATACACATATTATTGGCCAAAGAATAAAGATGGGAGGTAGAACAAAAGTTATTTGGGTTTCTTTATCTGGATTATGACATGCAATATATTATAGTCACAATATGCAAATGCCAAATACTCTCCAAATAACTACCAAGAAGGGCGAGGGTTATCAAAGAAGGAATCAGAGTCCTTCATTTCCGACAAAAACCTGTGCAAATTATTGTTCCCTCCTTTAAAGTCATGTTCAAAACTTGTCGTGCACTTTCGTTATTCCCTGTCTACATTTTCAGAAAATAGCCTGGAGCTTACAAAATGCACAACAGAACACACACATCAAGGGAAAAGCTCCCATCATTCAAAGCAGTGGATGAGCTGAGGAGGCAAAACGGTTTCATTACATTTCCAACCAGTCCAATCTCTGCTCAATAATGTTTCATAAAAAGCAAGACCCTGATAAGGACTTCATAAAATCTTATGAGTGCATCAGCTAATTTAAGAGGAAGGAGATCTTTTTTGATTGTTTTCAACCTCTCATTAGTTATTTAGAAGCTCGCCCCTTTCTGTTCCTCAACCTCTCATTGCGTGCAGGTTCAAAATAAGTAAAGGAGGTTAGCAGCATTGGTCCCAGCTCATTAGCTACACTGACAGTCTGTTTTACACAGTTGCTACTCCCCTGTATATATATATATTTTTTTATTTCATCACTTTATTCTACTGCGTTTAATATAACACATCAAACGCCGCACCTTACAAGGAAGTCATAAAACCGCAACATGTATTTACAAATGAATGTCACTTTCAATTACCTGGCGAGAGAGCTCATTATGATTTTAGTGGCGCTCATTATAATCACACACAATCGGACTTTTTGTCCCTTTGCACTGCTGTGAGTGAGTCATACGGTGGTATTGATAAAGAGGGAAGAGACAGGGGGTTTGATGGGGATTTGGAATATCTGTGGGAGGTTGAGGATAATATCTACATTATATAGATTTTAAAAAGAAAGTACATGTTCTGCTTCTGTCGTCTTAGCCTTCCACCTTTAGGGAAACGTTCCTTTTCCATCTGTGCTCACCAGGAGGTGAAATACATTCAGTTCAAGGTATTTCAATTGGTACCAGCAGTGATTGGTCAAACAGATGTGGTATCATATCCCATTTAATAATATGTTGATGTATTGGGAATTGAGAGGGCTGACAATGACCAAAACAGTTTCACTTTATTGCACACAATAAATGTGTATTACAGCTTTTGGTGGACACTGATTCATTATGAAATCATTGGATCTATTAATATCAGTATATGTCAGAATATTAGGTTTGGTTAAAGCCAGTAAATTGAAAAGATCATAAAATCTACATTTTCTGGTCCAAACACCGTGCACTGAGTTCTTTCAAAGAGCAAATCTCCCTTCTTTTAAGGATACGTTGTGTTTCATGTGCACTGAAGCAGCCACAGCAGACAGAAAGAGAAAATAGATCAAAATAATGTGGTAGTTAGCATGATCAGAACAGCCACCGTGGCTGCACAAAAGAAAGAAAAACACCACGTCCGAAAGCTCAAAACTTTCTTCAATCGAAGACATTCAGCCTTAAAAAAAGCACTGCAAGTTCAGAATAGAACAATGAGGACTTGTGTAACACTTTGTATAACACTGTACACTTTGTTACCTCAAGGCGAAATGGTATCTTGTCATTTACAGTGAGAGTTAACTTTGGTCTCTCTTTTCAGTTCAATAAAATATACTTCAAATGTAAAAACAACTTCAACTGTGGACTTTAACCGAAAGGTTGCAGTATTTTCTGCATGAAATTACAAGTAAAAATCACTAAAACATCAAATTAACTCGATGTATATCCATATATCTAGTTTCTTTATTGCAGGTTTGGAAAAGCGGAGCCTTTCATTGGGCGAGAGGCAGTGTACCATCGACCCTCGACAGGTTGCCAGAGTTTATCAAAAGGCCAAAAAGAGACACATTCACACTACAGACCGACTCGATGTGGGAGTAAACCCAGACAGACACATGTGGACGAGTATCTTTCTTTCTGAGAAAACCATAAATGCCATGGCCCAATCATCAATCATCTTCTGCCACCTCTTTTAAAATGCTTAATGTCTCCAAAGTAGATAGAGAGATTAAGACTAGTCCCCCCAGGATGACATTTTGAGGCTGGTGAGAAAATGATTTATGGCTTAGCTCGCCCCTCACTGGAGTCTGTCTTTGTCTCTTTAAAGGAGACTATAAAGTGTAATCAAGACGCGGTTACAGCAAACACTTTGTCTGACCCTCACGCCCACAATGCAACAGCCCCTGTATCCATCCAAGAACCTCTCCACTTCTCTCTGTTTGTTTCAGTCGGCGTTATCCGGCGTTTGTTCGCATCCTTGCAGACGTAAGTCACCATATCAAAATCGAGCTCAGCCAAATCTCTCACAAAGACGGAGAGGAGCTGTTGTTGTTTGAATAGCCTGAGAAAACTTTTTTACTCAAATGAATGTGAGCTCCACTTTTCTAAGTTATAGGTCCTTTTTAAATTGAGTAAGAGATATGACTTTAACGTGGTCTTTGTGTTATTTCTATGATGTCAGGTCACATTTAACGTGTGGAAGAACGTGGATATACTACGTGGCCATATTATGGGTTTCTCCCTTTGCTGTATTATGGTTAAAAGGCTTACATAGTGGTCTGCCATTCTCACCCACATACTCCCTGACATCTCTATGGAACACAGCCGGCCAACTAACCAATCAGAGCAGACTGGGCTCTGGTTCCAGACAGAGGGTGAACAGAGGTGATGCAGCACAGGCAGTGTGAGAAAAATAAAGAGCTTTTTGAACATTAAAGTATGGAGACATGTCCCAGTAGAGACACTACATACTAATATGAACTTGAAAATTGGCATTAAAGGGCCCCTTCAGGTCGATATATTGATCCTTAATTTAAATAAACGTTTAACACTCAGGGCAACATCTACAACTATTTTCCAATCAGGTACCCTAAAAAGTGTGTATAATTAAGTCGTAAAATTCCCTGCTCTACAGCGCCTGCTAGGTCAACCTGTCTGTGGCGGTGTCAGTGCGAGGCAATCTGTCACCCACTTTAGGTTCAAGCTTAAATATTTTAACAGCCTTAAGAAAAAGTGCTGATGTGGCTCTGTGTGAAATCCACTACTTAGCAATTAAAGCGGCCCTAGCAGTCACAGAGAGACAGTGACGCCGTTGAGCGCGACACCTTGGGAAAAGGTGCACAGATCAGCTTTAAAAACCTTCAGTTCTTTAACGAGAATGTTTTTTTTTTGTTACAGACAATGTTTACATAGGCCTGAGCAACAATGACAATATCCTTTTTTGGAAATAGTTTGTGTCCCTGGGCAAGACACTTCACCGCAAATTGCTCCTGTGGCGATTGTCCACAGTACTGAATGTATGTACTGTAAGTCGCTTTGGATACAAGCGTCTAACAAATGACATGTCATGTAATGTAAAAGACACAACTTAACAAAATGAACAGGAGATGACTCTGCAATCAAACGATGTGCAGCATTGAAGAGAGTCTTCCTTACCTGTGACGGACAGCTCAGTCGTCCTTCTTACCAAAAAGTTCCCAAACTCTAATTCGCAGGTGTAATTCCCAATGTCATCTTCTCGTACGTCCTTGATGGAGAGAGTGTCCCTTTTCCTTTCTATGGTTTGTCTCCACTGCTTTGGTTTGCATTCCTTTATTATGTAAACACAGGGTACAAAATGTAAAAATAAAGAAAATGCAGTGTTTGAAGTGTCAAAATCGGCAGGAATACGCTTTTATTTAACATGAAACTCTTCTAGTTGTATGAACTTTAGGCATATTGAAGATAAATCCAAAGAGAGTCCTATTTTACTAAACCTGCTTTTATAAAGAGCGGCTTTTCACACAGCTATGGTAAAAAGAGTTATTGCTTACATTTGTTCGGTGCATTCTTGCTGCACACTAACATCCTTTAAAAAATATGTTTGGGTGATGAACGGCTGTTTATCATTCCGAGGGAGGACTACTAATCTTGATTGAATTGCATCAGCTACTCTTAAATTAATTACTCAGTTAATGTATAAGTTCTTAGTAGTTTTTCAACATTCTTTAATGTATAAAGTGTCTAGCTTTATTTCAACCCCATAGAAAGCAGTTAAAGGTGGGGTAGGTCATTTTGGAGAAACCAGCTCGAGTGCGCTAGAATTTGAAAATACACAACCGGAGAAAATCTGCCACTTCCTTATAGAGCCCCTCCTCCAACACACACGAACGCGCACATGACCAATGAGGGCACGAGATAAGTTTGTGCACAGATGGAAGGCTGACAGGCAGGTAGGCCATCCAGTTATTTTAGCCGGGCCGGCTCAGATGATTGGTCGTGCTTTTTACAGTACTACGGCTTCCACAGATTACATTTTTTATGGATTTTTTGTCAAAGCACTTAATATATTCATTGCTATCGGGATGTTAAGAGCATTCCATGGAATATAACAAAAAGTGTATCTCGAGCCGGTTTCTCAAACTTACCTACCCCACCTTTAACTATGTAAACAGGAGGATACTTGAGCATTAAAAGCTCGTAAAGCACTTCTAAAATGGTTCAATTCCTTAGATTATGGTCATTTGTGTCCACTGCTGTCACACATTACAGTTTTTTGTCTTAAGGCAGATTTAGGGCCACAGAACACCTGAGGCAAAGGAAAACTGGGCCACTGTGGGATGGTTTCGAACTGTGGTCCAAGACAGGCCTCCCAGAATTAAATCAGCCCCCACTGACACAGCGAGAGCCAATAACCAGAGGGTGTGGAGCCCACAGTCATTATCTGCTACTTTAATTTGATTCAATGGGAAACTGAAGAAGCTTTTTGGCCACCTAATCCAGCACACTTTAACGTTTGATGAATTGGCCCCCCGAGCTCCGCCGAACAGCTCTATCAAAGTGGCCCGTTGGACACAAGGAGGTCTGCGCGGTTCAGTTACACTGTGGGCGTAGGAGAAAGCTAGATGTGCCTGTACACGGTGAATAGATTAATCTGTGTCAGATATATATTTATTTAATAAATGCTTCAAAAGTCACGGTGCTTGAAGTTCATTAAAATCTGAATGAAGCTGACCTTAACGAAGTTACTCCTCAGATAGCTCCCTATAAAGAAGCTTTTTAATAATGTGCGTGATGGGTTTCAGGTGACAGACAAAAACGGGGCGCCTCTGCCTTTTAAAGGAAATTAAATCAGTGGTTATTATTTGAGAGAAAGGGTGCATGTTACCTTGTACCACACGATATCCGGCTGCGCTCCTGGCTGTACATAATCATCGATGCCCGGGCAGGTGATGTCTTTGTTTTTGCTCAGTTCGGCCTTCTCAAAGAACCTCATTTTGGAGTTGAAGCAGAGGTCTGTGTCGTTCTCTGCCACCGTGAGAGACATGGACACCTTCATGCAGTATGTAGAGTTCCTGCAGAAAGGAAAAAAGAAAAGGTTAATGAATCAGTTGGAGAAAAGAAATCATAATGAAGTGTTGGCAGAAGAAAGCAAGCAAAAGCTGCCAGCAGTCCAGCTCCAGTTTCACATACACTCAAAGTCTCATTCATTAGATTACATATGAATAGCTAAATGCAGCAGAGGCAGATGTGTAGAAGCCTTCCTCTGGGAAAAAACATTAATTATTTCCACAATTCACAAGGGCTAAAACGGTTCTTTAGAATGTTGCACCATCATATCCAATATGACCCTTAATCCAGACAATTATAGACACATAGTGTGTGTATAAATACTGTATATAGTGTATATGTGTGTGTGTACAAGGGGAAGGGACACTGTCGGTAACATGCAGCGACAGCCTTGAATGTCAACAGCGCTCTGAGATTGATTGAGCGTTTTGTTTTCACGCGTTAAGCAGATACAGTGCGAGCTAGCAGAAAATTACTTGCTGCAATTGATGTACTGCAAATGCTCAGGTCATATACATAAAGAAGGGAATTTATAACGCGACGGGAGAATGGGAGTAAAATGCAAGATCACTTGTAATGTTTGAAGACTATATGCTTGCCTGGACTCACAGATACCGGGGCGTTTTTATCCACGGTGGAATAAACACTTCATTTTAACGCCTGGTGTATGCAGTATGGTGATTTGTGTTGCCCCTCTATTGGGAACACATGCCTTTAAATACTAAACCAATCTGTGTCGAGCTTTATCATGTGTAACCTTGTAGGGCATCAGAAAGGGATGCTTCACGGGTTACATGAGAAGTAAAGATGCAGCTGCTTGGCATTTACTTCTTTCCTGTTTGGGTCATTAATGAGACAGCGATTTTGAGATTGGATCTGTTGCTCGAGTAATTCACAGGACAGGACACAGGAGTCGATGAACACATTGATTCTCGGGAACGCTGTGCTATTTGAAGAGAGGGAAATAAAAGCAAAGGTCCTTTAATGATCGATGGGTTCAATAGGAGCACCTTTTCTTTGGTGAAAGCGGCTAAGAAGACAGTCATAATTGACAAGTACTCCAGCCCGAATGAAGGAAATCCCACCCCCCGCTGGTTAAAAGACCAAAGCAAATTGGCAGTGTTTAGGAAAATCTCATCGCTAATTTTCCAACTAAAGCTGGTTACACAAATTGAGCTGAACCAACAAACAATTACAAACATGTTAAATCCTAACATAATTGCGCTGCATTAACTGCCTCGTGGATTAGTACAGCACACACTGGTCTTAGCTACAGTGTCGGCAAACAATCCCTCGCCGCTCGAAACTGGCCGAGCACTCCCCCTTTACAGGGAGTGAGTGTGCCGTTGATGCAAATGTGACATGATGTGGAGATTATCCCAGACAACTCCTACCAGATGGACACCTGTGCAAATGAGATCCCACGGGAGCGCTCTCTTCCCTGCTAAATATTCTGGGCAGCACTGATAAACTGGAAGACAGAGAGAGGGAGAGAATTGTGTCATCTGCTCAGCAAGAGTGATCGATGGTGTGGGCCAACACTGTGTCCTACGATGTCTTTCCAACATTTCACATCCATCGTGACGCCTTTTGAGCCTGGAGAGCTAGGTGACTATTCACACAGGTGTAATATTCATGAAGACAATCCTAAGAACTAAAAATGATCTATATTCCAGTGACTTAAATACTACTGCACATACAGTGATAACAAGCTAGCTGATGCCATGGCGTTAATAGGTGACACTGTCTGTCAAATGTGTCAAACCGAAGGGGCTATGCAATGTCGTGGCAATGATAGATAGCATCCGGCGTACATCAGCTGGGAGAAGTGTCAGGCTGACAGATACTGTATGCAGCTGGAGGGCAGGCAGAGGACTGCAACACGCGGCATGAAATGATGTGCAATGGTCAGTAAGGAGTTAAGCAGCATGCTGAGAGGATTTTGATTGGCACACTGTGGGGAAACACTTCAGTAAAATATACCCATGGGATTTAGAAGTGGTTAAGCTCAGGGGTTAATTTGTAGATTTATGTATGAAGCCTAGGTAGTTAGATCCCTCCTAACAAAAAACATCCACTGTATTTTTATTTTATTCTATTGGCCGTCATTAAATCTAACTCACAGGGCAATAAAACCAGATGCAAACCTGCCCTTTATCTCAGCGACTGTTCGCTCTGATATTAAATAATAGGCAGCAGAATTGATTTGAAATCCTCCCGAGGATCCGGGGCACCTGTGGGGAAATTAATGAACTAACTTAATGAATCTGTTAATTAAAACAACTCCTCTCTAATAGAAAATGGATGATGAAATAATTGCGATTACTCATTAGAGCTTACTCTCAACTAACAATAACTGTCTCTGAGTATTGTCTCAGCGCACAGCACAAGGTTGATGAAAGGTTACCTGGGTATAATGTCATTACAGGGCAGTAAAATGAACCCACCACATATTAACCATTTACATATTTGATATAGGATGTTGACCTATGCTGTAAAATAACATGAAGGTCTTGAATCAGGACCTAGTCAGCATTTTAATTATAGATGAATGAGGTTTATGTTAATGCTGATGTCATAAAATACAAATCATTCACGAGGTAAATACTTGCAATAACTTTTAAATGCAAAAGTTTGAAAACTACCGTCTGTATATATCAACCTATTTCAAGAAGATTGTCATTGTTAATATGGCAGCATCCCAAATGTCTCATCGGCTTAAATGGTTTCGCTACCCAGCCAGGCACATCCTCCATCACCGCAGCTTTCTAAAACCGTCACAGGAATAGTCCTACTGTCATCAGGGCATCCGGCTCAGAAGACATATTGCTCAAATCTGCCAAATCATTACCGTGCTCCTGTTTGCTTGTCTGTGTCTACACTGTACATGCCAGGTTAAACTGAAAGATTGCAACTTATTGAATGCATGTTTTGTATTCAGTAAAGTATAGATATCATCTGTGAAGGAAGCTTCCACTTTTTATATGGACGCACTAGACAAGTCTGGTCTATCAGACTCTGGTTTCAGACAGAGGGTGAACGGAGATGCTGCAGCACAGGCAGTATGAGACATATAAAGAGCTTTTTGAACATCAAAGCATGGAGACATGTCACAGGAGAGACACTAAATGTAAATATGAACCTGAAAATGTTCTCTTTAAGGGACTCTCAACTACAGGGCCCAAGTGTATGAGCGACATTATTGGTCCATGTTGCTGCCTCTTACATCAGCATTTACCTGAGATTGGATTGAAATGTCGACCAGGGCTACATCAATGTGAAGGGTGGATGTAAAAACAGATCGTTGCTGAGAGGACACACACACTGCAGCTAATGCAGCCTGGCATGATTGGATGTGCATTGTCACTGCGGAGACAGACGTAACAACAGCTTTAGACAGGCAGCGAATCGTCAACATCAAACAATGGCGAAGACCAAGACTGACAAAACACTGAGAGGTCAGAAAAGTGGCCTCGATAAGGAGCTAGAGATTGAACCCGAGTATTTATATAAACATATATCATACAGCCTCCAGTACTCTGCACAGTGCCTTCCCTGCTGTCCACACCAAGCCAAGATTAACCCAGACCAAGACAGGGCCGGCCCAGTTATCCTAAATCAGTTTTTTTATGGTACCTGCATTATTTATGGCCAGAGCGAAGGTCATAGTAAGCAGTGGGAAGACTGGGATCCTACCTGTAGCGGCCGCTCATAACTCACCTGTCAGCTCTCGCACCAAGCCCGGGATGATTAAGCACCCCGGCTGCCCAAATCTGACTGTGGGCCAACTTGCTCCTACTTAGCCTCTGTCTACGAGTGTGGCACTTGTCTGCCATGCTGGAACAACCGACTCCCGCCATCCACCCCCCTTTCTCTTTACCTCCCTCTGCTTGGGGTTTGTCTCTGTCCATGCTTCCATTGCTGCCTGCTTCTCTCTTGTCTTGTAGTACACAATGTCTCAGGGAGGAAAACACACCACCTCTGCAGATAATGAAGTTTTGCCATGCTGGGAAAAAACTCATGCCTGCACCTGTCTGTGCTGTTATGAGGCAGGCACACACTCGCATTCACACATATGGATACGGAAGGATACACATGGAATAAAGACAAGCAGTATCTCTGCATTGTAGGAATAGGAATTGATTCACAATTTTGAACGAAGATGACTTATTTGGTTTAAATTGCAGCTAGACAAGATCATATGTATTTAACTAGATGTCTGAGTTTTTCCAAACATCGGCAGGTTTTTATTTAAAATGGATGCTTACTTTAGTGACTTAAATGACATGGTAAAACACGAGAGGAGTACATTAGGGCTAGCATTCATGAAAAGACCTTAAAGAGTAATTACATTTCCAGTGAAGACCCTCTTGAAGCTCTTAAAGGACCCCAAGGAGTCCTAAAACTCTGGTTATAAAAATACACACTGCAGTATACATATACATCCGCAAAATCAATAATCTCATCGCATAATCCTGCAAAAAACGAATATATTTTCCAACAATACTGAGATCTCCTGCTTGTTAATCTCAAGCTGACTGAAGCACCTCTTGTGTGCAAATGTATTAGTCGAGTTGATGCCTTCAGGGATCTCATTTCCCATTCCACGACATCCCCCACTCATCGTTATGCTAGCAACCTGATTTCATAACAAGAACAAACAATTTGTCTCCATTGTATTCTACTCTAACTCTGTCATGACCTTATTCATTGGTCCCTGGGCCCTGTGGGGGTAATGTATGAGCAGCCATACTGCTCTGCATATCAAATGCAAAACCTTTTCTTACTAGCAATGTGTCTGCAGGAGAGGGCTGTTGCATTGAGTGTAGAGGTGAAAAGATGTAAACTGGTCATAGTTAATCAAACAATGTAGGTTTGTTGTTATGTTTACTTGCTTTTTGGCCACTTGATCTTTCAATTATTATTATACGCTCACTGTTAGGATACAGGCAAGAGGTGAGTCCTCTCTAATATACCCCTGGCTGATAGCTGTGGTATTGCAGTT